ATTTCCCTGCTTCCTGTCTTGAATTTGTGAATTATTTCTTTAACTGCTCTCTCTTTCTTTTATACAAACACACACATTCCTAAATATGTAAATACAACTTTTTCATATAATGTATCTGAACATGGATAACACCAATACACATGATAACATTATTAGGGAATGTTATGTCCTTTATGTCATTTATGTCCTTGCTCTCTATTTTCATTCATGTTCCATCCATGCTTTGCTTTACTGCTGTCTATGTAAGATTATCATCTGTATTCCTACAGGCTCAAACACAGCAGGACTTCCAATGGATTGAAATTTCTAAACTGTGATACTTAGTGCAACGACTGCTCTTATTGCTTGAATTATCTTAGGAATTTATTTCAGTATTGGGAAATTGTCTAGCACAAATGTTACATTTTGGGTCTGAAATATTCCCCAAATTCATGTATTAAATCTCTTTTCCCTAGATGATAGCACTGCTTTGAGAGGTGATTGGGTATTAAAAAATAAGCTGAAGATGAGCAACATTGTCCTATATACACTGTCATCACAATGAGGGTCTGCCTCACCTGAGCCCACTGTAATGGGTCCAGTAAACCGTCTGATCACTGGCCTCTCTGAGCCAGAGGAATAAGCCAGAGGAACGCTCTTATTTTGAACTGCTGGTCCAAGATATTTTTCAAATCAACAGGAAGATAACGTAACAAGCTATAACTCTATCCAGATCCCCGTCAGTATCTAACATTAGACCTAGCTCCACGCCACTGAGCAGGTCCTCCAATGTCAGTTAAAGGCTCCATGACTCAGCACATGAACTGAAAAAGAACATTTTAGTGTCATCAACATTCACTTCCAGACACCGTGGGAAGGGCTCAATGCTTCTGTCTTATATGGGCCAACATCTCAGGTCAGTGCTCTTATCACACTGTCACAGTCACAGAAGAGGAAGCAGAAGCAAAAACCACACTAATGGCAATGTCTAGAACTGTGATTTGAACTTGGGATGTCTGACTGAGATCACAAGGTTAGCAATCATTCTTTACAAAAACATTGATGTATTCCAGAGGCTTAGTCTGGTGAATGGAGAACAGGGTCTATGGATTTCTTTCCTTTGAGCTCTTCAGCTTCCTCCTTCTATGAAAACAGCCTTTCTTTGAAAAGGTCATTCACATGGAAAACTGGGTTTATGTATTTCTACATAAATTACCAATTTAAAATGGGTTTGCATGATGTGGAAAGCGTCACACTGAGAAAATTTTTTATAAGGAAAACTGGTTAGATATGGGGTATGAGCTAAGGGTTCTTGTATGAACATGTGTTACACTGGAAAATATAAGTGGCAGCATAGGTACCCATAAGAAGCATAGACTACATATAAGAACTGAGCATAACTAATATTTTAAAAGGTGATACATGGAAATTTCTCCAATTGTCTAAAGAAATAGAAGGCTCTTTGGGGAGTGAGACATTGAAAACAGGAAAACAGGGTGGTGTGAATGGGCATCACCAAGAAGAGGAAGTCTGAGAAAAGACAAAAAGAAAACATGAGAGTGAGGCAGGAGGCCCAGCATTCTAGAAGGACTTCCTTGAAGGCAGCAGCATGTGCAAAGGCCATAAGAAGAACATCCTGCCATGTCATGGACAAAGATTCACTCCACATAGATAGAGGGCACTGAGGTTTGGAACAGAGAATACCATGGCCTGGCATGAGCTTAAACTAACGTTTTATCTAACTATTGAACACAGACTATCAATCGGAGAAGGTTAATACATGTGAGCAAATGGGAGAGGGCAGTTCTCACCAGACAGTAGCAGAAGAAAAACAGGAAAAAAGGTCAGCTTTTGGATACACCTACTACTGTGTGAAGTTCCAGAAGGACATATCAGGATGCAGGAAAGAGCTTCAGTCAGGGGAAGGCACCACATTATATGTGCTTGGTAAGTACTGCATTGTCCTCCTCATCCCTGATTTCTCCAACAGGCAAAAACAGTGTCCAAGAGCAAGAAGAAGCAAGTGTGGAAGTGAGCCCTTATGTTCATGAGGTGACTTTAGCCCAACTGTGGACAAATGAAAGAAGCTGAGATGCTGTACTTGCTAGGCGTCCTCATTCTGGGAAATGTGAAATCCATGCATTGTCTGCCTGTCCCGCAGAGCTTACCTTTCTCAATTTGTCCAGGATAGTAGCTTCATAAAGACCCTGAGAGCTGACTGCCTTGCCCAGTGAGATGGTCAGACCAGGCCTACAGCCCCATAGTACTTCCTCTCCTGATGCAGTCTTCTTTTTCTGCCCCAACAACCTAGGGCCTAGTTATGCCAAGTTTCACCATAGATATCAGCAGAGATGGCAGGAAGCAGTCAAGTTACCCAAGATGTGTGTGTCTGTTGCCTTTCACAAGGAAAATCACACCAAGGCAGAAAGTGTCAGGGCCAGGGCAGGGTATAATTTTCTCATTTGTTTGCCATCCACAGCACACTGAGAACATTCAAGATATGCCCACATTCCCTGTGGAATCTCTTAACCCTTGTTTAGATGCTGGTACCAATTTGGCCTTTGCCTTAAATCTTTCTGAAAACATTTTGTATCAGGGACCAACTCTCACAGGCATTGAAAATTTTGAGCAATATAGGCTTATGTCCTAGAAAAAGTCTCCTCGTGGAAGATCTCGAATCACTAGCCGAGGTTAACAAATTAAAAAACAAACAAAACGAAACAAAATAATCATTTTGAATCTCCTGGCAGAGGCCTGGAATCTTTTTTTCTTGATCTTGATTTGGAAATTGTACAATGTGGAGAGTCCGACTATCCAATATCACTGTGCCTGAGATGTGCGCCCTGTGATCCAGCCCCCTGTCCATAATCTCACGTCCAGAAAGGGCTGGGATATGGTCTCAAATCCACATCTGACTCCAGGCCAGCTTTTTGCTGTCCAAGGATAGACACCATCTTCCCTGATGAGCCTACTACATAAGAGATGCTGAATCAGAATTTCTTGAACTCAGCCAGCATTTCCATTCATCAAATACCCCAGGTTTCAAGATATTCTTGCATCTGAGCTACTATGCAGAAGTGATCAGAAAGCTATCCCAATGTCAGCCTGATCGCTCTGTGTTGGAACTGAGACCTATTCCCCTGTATAAGCAAAGCATCATATTCTATCAGGTAGACGTACTCTAATTCAGATCCCAGATCGTAAGTGTCTCATTTATTTCTCTACAGCATGTCACAGTGGATGAACACATATAGCCATCGTCCTGTCCATAAGGCATGCCCTCTGGAGAGGGCCTGCTGGGTTTGAGTGTAAGTTAGTTTATAAAGATATTATCATTTTCCAACCTCGGTGTGGTTTAGCAAGCCTTATCACAACATCTCAGGGAAGAGAGACACTGAAGTTCTAGGTAATGCAACGTGTAGGCAACCCAAACTAGCAAGTGACTCAGGTAAGATGCAATCCATAAGCTTCCAGTGATACTAGCTTTATTTTCCATGCTATTTGTCCTAAGGATGCCATTGCTTTGCAAGTAGGTGAAAGGAAGGAAATGAAATAGCAACATGCTAGGTGCCATGTCTCTGTTACAGCATTTTCTCCCTGTGCATGTTTAAGAGGGGAGAGGTTACTTCTTCCCTTTAGAGAAGAAGATCCTGAGGTTCATAGAGGGCATCTGACTTGTGAACAGGTGAAGAAGAAGCAACTGTTGACTACAGGACTCTGCCTCACAGACTGACACAGCATACATGCTCTCCTTCGTACATAGCTATTTTCTGAGCAACAGCCACAGACTAGCGCTTTCTCCTGCATCCAGTCTTAAAAATGAGAAGAAGAAATAAGTCAGGTCTACAGGAGCTGGGGCCCCTGGAACAAAGGCCTCCTTCTGCCTGGAGCTTTCTGGGGCAGCAATTTGGTACAGAATTCCTCAGGTCTGATTCTTAGGGAAGAACTAGAGTAGTGCCAACAGCAGGGCATTAGTATGGGGACAGTTTACTATCTTGTGGTAAATGAAAGTGAGGGCACAGGAAATGTCCTCTGAGACACAGAAGGAAAGAGGAGCCAAAGTCTCTATTTCATCCTTGGTCTCCTCATCTGTGCCATGGTGATGGTCATAGATACTTCAGAGGGAAAGGTTGGGCCTTCTGTATATCAACTGAAACAGTGGCAACATCCCTATCCACAAACTAAGTGGCATCATGGTTGTAAAACTTTGACAAGGTTGTAAAACCCTGGACAATTTACTGAATTCCAACCTGTTTCCTCTTCTGTAGAATGGGGATAACCTGCACCCACTTTTCCAAGGTGTAATCACTACCCAGAAAATTGCTGAGAGGCTGGCATCAGGAAGCCATGAATGAGAAAACCTTGCTCTTTCTGGAGTGCTATTTTCCCTTTCTGGGATGATGGCAGCCATGGTCCATGGTCAATGTTATGGACACATCTTACATGGTGACGTCATGGTCTTTACAGGGGATCAGTACGGCCATGGTCTTCAGAAGAGAGGGACGAGATTTAGTGTCTGGGTATGCATCCTGGCACTGTGAAGGTGCCAGGACTATCCTCCATGTAGTGTTCTCACATCATATATTTTCCCTGCTAGCACACTATACAAATTGGTTATATGAAAAGAATGAAGTCTGTAACAACACACTTAGGGAAACTTTATGACTTGTAAGAAATATTTCATCATTGAGTTGTGTTAGTCAAAGGCCATGTGACCTTGGACTTTTCACTTTACATCTCCAGGCCTTAGGTATCAGTGAAGTTAGGGTGGGGTCGGTGGCTCCACCTTGGTGGCTTGTAAATGTTTCCTCTGTTTTTGAATGTTAATAGTAGCTTTTATGCTTAGAGTACTGCATTCCTTTTTTGTTTAGTTGTAGGGGGGTTGGCATTTTTAGAATTAATTCTTTTATTTCCTTTTTATCCTGATTACAGCTTCCCTTTCCTCCTCTATTCCCAGCCCCTCCCTCTCATCACCCTCCCGCCAAACCTCCCTTTCTCCTTTCTCCTATTTACAGAGATTACTGGAAACTTGAGAAACTGCACCTGTCTTGGTCCGAGGATACTGTCCCAGGGATCATCCTAAGTATCACCAAACAGGGTCTTCGCTAGATCCCATTAACCTTGTGACCCTCCCTAGGAGTTAGATTCACAGTTAGAGTGAGAATAATAATCCCCAAACCCCAGAATTATGCAAATCAGGTATAAGAATAAAAAAAAAGTGTTCAGTCTAGGTGTAAATATGGGTGATCACGGCTGAGGAATACAGATGTAAGTCACTTCAAAGTCCACTGTGAAAGAAAGTTTATGCCATTTTTATAGTAACACGATAAGAAAGTAATAAATTAAGACACTTTTGAAAGTGGGAATATGGAAGAGGTGGGTTACAACACAGAAAGGAAATATGTCAGAGGCCTCATGTTAGGGGAACATGTTAGACCTTAGCATCTGTGTTAGCTGAAACTAGTGGCCTGCTAAGTTAATACATTCTAAAGGAGAACTAGTACTCTGCTTGTACAATCCAAATGATTTAACTAGTTGCGACACAGCTGTTATGTCAGGTACAGAGGAAGGCAATATATAGCCTTTGATGAAGCTAGATACGTCCAGGATAATTTGGTTCTGGACCTGCAACATGCCAAACTACAATTCATTAATGCTAAGAAGATAAAGAAGCATTTAGAAAGGTTACGTTTGAATGTTCATCTTCTTTGTGGAATCTTTTGTTCATAAAACCAAGTGTCATTTGGCACTGAGCACAAATTCTAACCCACTCTTTCTACAAGGGCAACTTGCTGAGTTAGGGCCAACAGGGAACTAGATATCTTTTTTTCCGTGTCTTCCACTTTGAAGAAGTGGAAGAAGTTGGGATAGGGAACGAATTCAAACTGGGCTTAGAAGTCTACAGATGGGCCAAATAGAGACCCCTGATGACAAACCGTGTCCTCTCTGTTTCCCCTGCCCCTTGATTTCCAGAAAAGAAGACAACAGACACTGCTAAAGTACTTGTATTTGTGCTCCTTGGAACCAAACTGCTGCTGGCAATTGGTGTCTCTTCCATCTACCTTCACAAGAAGCAGAAGGCCTAACTGTAAGTTAGAAGGGATGGAGACTGTATTAATTGTTTTTATATTGCTGTGGCAAGGCAAAACAAGTTATACAAGAAAGGATTTATTTGGCTTCAGTGCCCCAGAGGCATATGTTCCCATCATGCCTGAGAGGCACGGAAGCCTGACCAGGAAGCTGAGAAATGACATAGCCAGCAGGAAGTATGGAACAGAGAGATCAAACTGGAAGTGTTATAAGGCTGTTAAGCCTCAGAGCTCAACTCCTATGACATACTTCCTCTAGCAAGGATGTCTCATCTAAACCTCCTCAAAGAGTACCTCCAACTTGGAACCAAGTGTTCAGACATCTTGGAATATAGGGAATATTTCTTATTCAAACCATCCTGGGGATATGACTCTACGGACTAAAATAGAAGGGCCAATTCATTGGTCAAACATTTTTGGAATCTGTGGTGATGGCATGTGCTAAGGATCCTCAAGAATCTCTTGGAAACTTTTGACACATGCCTCACTCTCAGGAAGTCTGTGTTCTGCAGAAAGGGTCCAGTCAAGGACCAGTAAAGATGTTCAAATAGACCTAGAGGATATGAAGGACCAGGGCCCTGGGATAGGATGTGGGGAATTGCCTTCACTGCACAATAAGTAGAATGCAAGGGTTCCATGGGTAAAAGCAATCTACATTATGGACCAATTTTTAGAAGTTTCAGGTCATTTGTAATAAGGAATATTTCTTCTTTGACCTCTCTGTGATGATGAATAGGCTCATAAAGACTGTATGACTCAGAAACTAGGCTGAGTTGACACTTTGATGACATGGGCATCTCATTCACTCAGGAAGGAGGAAAGCGGTAGTAAGGAACACTGAAGCACTATGATACGATGTGTAAGTGATGAAAGGAGTATTGAATCAGAACTGATTTTCTACAGCTCTTCTCTCCGTCTTCTGCTACAGAAAACCCTGAATATCTGACATCACCTTTCTTTGAGAGGCTCAACATAGAAGGAGAAGAAGCTGGTGAGACACGCTGGAAGGTGTGTCTCCTACTATCTGCCTTACAAGGACAACTGAAACTCACAAGTTCTTGGTATTCACCTGCAGAGCATTGATAGTCCAGAGCTGTGATGTTGGTTATATTAGAATACATTTTGGGGGTTCTTAATATCATTAAATAAAGAATTTAAAGATGAACTCAAGTGAGAGCCTATGGATAAAGTTGAAGAAAAATTCCCAGTTTAGGCAACGTGTACAATTCAGCAACCTCACCGAGTAAGAGAATGGAGGAGTAATGGGAAAAACATGCTGTCTAAGAAGGCACAGAGGTCAGACACTGGCACATAGTGGAAAGAAGGGAGTTAAGAAGTCCCAAGGTATCATAAAAATTGTTCTAACGTTCTGGCCAGCATTTAAATCCAAAAGAAAGAGGCAGTAAAAAAATAAAGAAAAAAGAAAAAGAAAAAGCAGTTTCTATCCGAATCAGGCCAGCTAGGCAGACCCAACTGAACCTCAACATAGCATGAAAGGACTGTGCTGGGTAGGGAAAATTCTGGGAAGGGAGGGGTATTAGAGCTATTAATAAAATATTCTTTTTTGACAGTCTTACTATATAGCTTTGGAGGTCCTGGAACTCACTGTGTAGACAAGGCTGGCGTTGACCTCATTTAGATCTGCTTACCTCTGCCTCCTGAGAGCTGGGGTTGATGTGCTAAAGCAGCATACCTGCAGAGAAAGCAGTATCGACCTAGTCCCTTAATGTGGTGTGAGAGGATCCTAGCCTGGCTGATTTACCCTGGAATGCTAGGTCTCCATCAGGGGCCACAGAGTCTACTCTTTTTCATTTGGGTGAAGTTTTCTACAGATATCTGTTACGTCCATTTGAGTTATAACATATGTTAGCTTCATTATTTCACCACCTGCTTTGTGTCGGGATGATCTGTTCGTTGGTGAGAGTGGGGTATTGATGCTTCTCACTATTAATGTGTGGGGTTCAGTGTGGGGTTTAAGCTTTAACGATGTTTCTTTTACAAATGTGAGTGACATTGCATTTGGGGCACAAATGTTTAGAACTGAGATGTCATCTTGCTGAAGTTTTTCCTTTGGTGAGTATATAGTGTACATCTCTATCTCTTTTGGTTAATTTTGAACTATTTGTTGTTGTTGTTGTTAGATATTAGAATGGCTACACCAGCTTGTTTCTTAGATCCGTTTGCTTGGCAAATCTTTTTCCAACCCTTTTCGCTGAGGTGAGGTTTATCTTTGATGTTAAAGTGTGTTTCTTGCTATATAACCCACTTGGACACTGAACTGCCATGGGCTACATCTGTGCAGGAGTTCTAGGTTATCTCCACGAATAGTCTTTGGTTGGAGTATGAGTCTCTGGGAAGTTCCCTGTGTTCAAATTATCTTGTTCTGTTGCTCTCCTTGTGGAGACCCTGTCCTCTCCAACACTTACTATTTCCCACTTCTTACATAAAATTCCATTCACTCTGCCCATCAGTTGGCCATCAGGCTCAGCATCTGCTTTGACAGTCTATACTGCAGAGACTTTCAGAGGCCCTCTGTGGCAGGTTCCAAGGTTGTTTCCTGTTTTCTTCTGGCTTTCAGAGGCCCTCTGTGGCAGGTTCCCAGGTTGTTTCCTGTTTTCTTCTGGCTTTCAGAGGCCCTCTGTAGCAGGTTCCTAGGTTGTTTCCTATTTTCTTTTTCTTCTGATGTCCATCCTCTTTGCCTTTCAGGATGGGGATTGAACATTTTAGTTAGGGTCCTCTCTTTTGCTTAATTTGTTTAGATGTACAGATTTTAGTGGGTTTATTCTATATTGTATGTTTATATGAGTGAGTATATACCATGCATGTCTTTTTGCTTCTGGGACAACTCACTCAGGATGATCCTTTCCAGGTCCCATCATTTACCTGCAAATTTCATGATTTCCTTATTTTTCATTGCTGAGTAATACTCCATTGTATAGATGTACCACAGTTTCTGCATCCATTCTTCAGTTGAGGGGCATCTGGGCTGTTTCCAGATTCTGGCTATTACAAATAAAGCTGCTACAAACATGGTTGAGCAAATGTCCTTTTTGTGTACTTCAGCCTCTTTTGGGTATATGCCTAGGAGGGGTATGGCTGGATCTTGAGGAAGCGCTATTCCTAGTTGTCTGAGAAAGCGCCAGATTGATTTCCAGAGTGGTTGTACCAGTTTACATTCCCACCAGCAGTGGAGGAGGGTTCCCCTTTCTCCACAACCTCTCCAT